TAAATTTCACTTAATTTGTAAACACTAAAAATCAATGACCATATTTGGATTGATCACAATCAAATCAGGTTAAAAGTACTATACAAAAGCTTATTATTAATTTATGACAATAGCCAATGCTATAAAACATTCGGAATTATATGAGAATTTTTAAAAATATCATCCTAAAACCTTTTTTTTTTAATGCAAAACGTATTCGCAAATTTGGTCCTACAATCTTCGCACCTAAATTTTCATTTTCCATTCATTTGATCCCACCGATTAATTCAGCACTCTGATATTATTATTTTTGTCGACAATATGCATGATATGAATTTGAATTCGAATTAGTGAATTTTTTTGAAACATCAAGTACACTAACACAAATCACTAGAGACTCTTGGTTTGATTTGATTTATTTTTCAGTCATTACATTTTATTGTTAGAATCGAGAGCTCCATATACATTTGATTTTTCCACTCCCTTCTTAATCGGACAGACGACTTGAAAGATATGTCAATAATAAATTTACTTGTTGAACTTTTGGATTCTAGTTGTCTGCGAACTAGTCTCAAATAGACTCTCTTGGCTCTCTTATGTTTGTAAGACTTGATCAGCTGTTCGTCAACTACTTGGACTCCCTTACCTATCTTTCTAGCCTTCAGATTCCACTACTTGGACTTATATTACATTTATTTTTTGGATAAAAATTTAAACATTTATTGTTAATCTTAACCATCGTTTCAACCATCTCTCCAAATACTTATTTTATCCATCTGTATAGACATCGCATTAAGCCATTAACAAATTATTTTACCCGTCTAACTGATTGGTAATATTATATCTTAACATTTTAGTTATGAACCGTAATGTTGGAAACTACCAATCCAAATCTTAATAAACAATGGATATGCAGTTTTAAAAAAGTTTTCAACTGGTGATTATAACGGTCAAATCGCATATCATTCTTTACTACGTATAGTGCTATAACTCTAATTAAATTGAACAAATAAACTGAAATAGTTTTTAAGCTATAAATTAATTTGTTTATGTTATGTTTTTGGAAAGAAAACAACTGTATATTTTAACAATTATAAAGAAGATGTCGATAAAATCTAGATTGTCAAGTCAAAGTAAACACGATACATTAATGCTAGATAGATATATTTTGGATAGAGAAAATAACACTCGTAAGGATATGTATTGGAATCAACAAAATGGGATAAAAATCAAACCCATAAAAAATTGAAATCCTATCTCCTTAAAAACTACAGAAATCAGGGTATGTATGTACCTATAAAAAAACACATGTTATAGATGGATACAAAGTGGCTGTGAGCGGTCTGGAAAAGGAGAGTGTGGAGAAGTATTTGTGAACGAACCAGATTGGTACTCCCAACCGACAAATTTCACTAGAATCAGTATAACTTTCAATCATCAAGCATGTTTTACTTGAAATCACTTCCAGTTGAAAATTAACTTAATTTTTTTCATCTTGTATTAAAATTTAAATTTGATCCAATGGTGATAAGTCTCTCATATATTTATGATGACGATGTAATATGCGTGATATTTGGTCTTCAATTGAATGTTTTACTCCAAATGATTTCGCTTTTCTTTAAAATGTTTTTGTAACATGTACTGACTCAAACGGAAAACTTGCAAAAAATTGCACGACTCCTAAAATCTCTAAAGACACAAAATACGAAAAAGAAACAAAAACTCAAACCAACAAAAATGCAACACACCAGATTTCCCGCTTCGGGGATTGGCATACTTTTGCCTCGGAGTTGCTTGAGCTTGAGAACCTTATTAGACATGGATTTTTCTTTGCATGCAAAGTTCTGATGTTATATGACCGTAAAACCAACGTTTCAAAACATGTGCATAATTGATAGAAAGTTTTTGTTTCCTGTTTTTTGATCAAACCAAATTTTGTTTCCAATTATTCATAACTCATGAGTAATAAGAAAGTTATATCCACTAAATGAAATAAAATCTGGTAAATGTCTCCCGTAAAACAAAGTGGACACTACATCAATGCAATTAATTCTTTGGCATATATATAGTTCCACACTTCCATGGGACAATAATATAAGTAACATGAAATGTTACCTAACCACAATTCACAATGCTTTCTCAAAATAAAATGATGTTTTCTCAAAATGAAATGAGATGTTTCCTTTTTTTTTCCGAAATTATAGGGTCGGGGATCGGGACCCCAAAAGACGCTTATAGTTTGTTAGCGTCAAAAGATTGTGGTTAGCCGCATCATTATGCACTCATAGTTGAATATGACTAGGCAATGAGTGTTTTTGCTTAATTTCCTCTTTAAAATTCAACTATTCATTGCATTATTCTATAAGAATAGTCAACATATTAATCACGGGGTGGATCCAGTATTAATAATTTAGAATACTATAAAAATGTAAAAGAGGGTCATAAAAAATACATGTAAAAGTGATGTCACAAAAAAGTATATGTAATAGGGAATGGTGGCTTTTTTTTTTTGGTCTAAAAGGGAAAGGTGGCTTACAATAGTATTAGAGAGGGAATGGGGAAAAAATGATAGTAATATTTGTTTTTCTCTCTTCAAGCATTTAAATATTCACAAATTCAATTTTTTAACTTCTTAACTTTCCAGTTAACATCTGCCAAACAACTGTACATTAATCGAACAGAATTGTCAGTTTCACGTTAATCCAATCTAACTTTTAAAAAATAATTAAAAAAACAAAATAATTATATATTACACACAAATATTTAGTGATTCATTTTCAATACTACGCTACAATGCTTATTTTTTCTACACAAAGTATTGGTGACAAAAATAAATAACAAACAAAAAGAACCTAAAACTTCGAAAATAAATATTTATAGTGCTTAAGGATATTTCAAAACTGT